GTTTCTCTGCAATGGTATCAGAAGCAAATGCTCCCATCACAAAGATTGGATATTGTCCAATGCTTCCAGCATCTCCAACTGAGTTCAGCACTGTCTACACTGTCTTGAAGCAAGTTCAGACTATGATGAGAACACTTGGCCAGAAGGAATCAGTCATAACATTTGATTTGGCAATCTACGTTAAGGCAAAAGAGTTACAATGGCGCTTCAAAGATGATTTTGAAGACACTGTGATACGTTTGGGAGGATTTCACATTGTCTTGAACTATCTGGCAGTAATTGGAAAACGTTTCATGGATTCTGGTTTACAGGACCTCCTAATAGAGTCGGACACCTATGGACGCAGCACAGCTTTGGCTTTGCTCCGAGGAACATCTTACAACAGGGGAGTCAGGGCGCACAAGCTAGTACTGGAGGCCCTTCTGCGTCTTCAGTGGCATTCTTTCACAAAGTGGGCACAAAACCAAGGTGAAATGCTTGATTCAACAGAAGTTAAAATCATTGATGACAAAATCACTCTTTGCCGAGAAGGTTTTCAAGGAAATGATAACCTTATTGAAAACGTCAAGGGCTTATGCTCAGATCTGACAAAACTACGGAGGCTGTTTGCAAGATATAGCAGGAAGTAGGTAAGAAGTCAGATATGTTTGCTTTCTGGGATTCATACATCGAGATGGTGGAATTGCTGCTCCAGTTCATTCGTGCTGAAAGGGAAGGGAATTGGTCCATGCATCTATCTGCTACTGCTGGGATGATGCCATACTTCTTTGCCATGGACAGAACCAACTACTCAAGGTGGCTGCCAATATACCTATCTGACATGGATCGACTTAAAACGACTCATCCAAGAGTGTATGAAGAATTCATGAAAGGTAATCATGCTGTGAGTCGTTCAGGGAAACCTTTTAGTCAAGTCTGGACTGATATGGCCCTTGAGCAGTCTGTAAACCTTGACTCAAAAAAATGTGGAGGCATAATTGGCATCACAAAGCAAGCTGGAGCGATGGACAGGTGGTTTGTCACATGCAATGAAAGAGCAGCTATTACCATAGCAACCAAAGAAATGTGTGGAATAGTAGATGGTGAGCGAGTTGGGACTCACAAAGAGACTGGTGTTGACAGATTGAAAAGAGATGAAACAGATGTGCAGCAGCTAATGTCCATGTTCACATCAGGATTGATGGCAAATCCATTCAATCTTCCAAATGAAGATGACGAGTCATGTCTACCGCTTGTGAACATTGCAAGTGGAGTTGTTGTCCCAAAGGATATGATTCACAGCCTCTTGCATGTTGAACAGATTGGGCAGAGCAAATGGATAACTTCATAAGTAGTCGGCTGAACTCTTCCAGAACAAACTTCTGGTCACCCTTGCATCGACTGAACCTGAAAACATTTCTACATTGATTCCCAAACAGGCTGTAAAGCCCAGGGATGAGAAACTTCACACAACAAATGCAGACAGAGAGCTGGAAGACTCATCATTGCATCAAAATCACGAGAAGTTGATCTGAAAGACGTCTTGACATATGAACTTTCTAGTGTTCCTTTTGCAATGGCTCATTCAGATGGAACATTAAGAAAAAACATCAAAAGCAGTTTGTTAAGTGAGCTTGAAAAAGGAGTTTTTGGTCCTTCAATGCTTCCATTAGCACAACATAGAATGTTGACAGTTCAGATAGTTGATGGAATGGCAAAATTACAGATGTGCAGAAAGGGAGCTGCTTCCACATTTGGAGAATTGGCTGATATGCATTGGGACAACTTAACTGCAATCCTGAATCGAACAGACTGCAATAGAGTTGATGTTGTTTGTGACAGGTATGACAGACAAAAGCCAATCAAAGCTCGGGCGCGAATCAAAAGGGGATCATCAACTGCGCTAGAAGTCAAGATTGTTGGCGAAAACACACCTCTACCAAGACAATGTGACAAATACATTAGCAATCCTGTCAACAAGTCTAATCTTGTAGCATTTATGAATGAACGATGGTGTTCTGTTGGTCCAGCCAGGCTACCTGTTGGTAAATCTGTTGTTCTTGCTGGTGGGTTCACTGATGCTTTAAGTGTTGTAACAATAACATCAGAAAAATGCCAACCTCTTGAAGTTCTGCATACTGACCATGAAGAGGCAGACACTCGCATTCTGCTGCATGCTTCTCACGCTTCCAATGATCATCCTAGAGTAGTCATCCAATCACCTGACACAGATGTTGCAGTTCTTGGGATTTCCTTTTTTCAATCCTTAAAGTGTACAGAACTATGGTTTTCGCACTGGAACAAAAGACCGCTACTGGCACGTACCACTTCATACCGATGCAGAAAAACTTGGACAAAGTGTTAGCTCTGCTCTTTTGGGACTTCATGCCTTTACTGGTTGTGACTCAACTAGCGCCTTTTGTGGCATCAGTAAGAAAAGGGCATTTGACTTACTGAAGTCCTCTGAAAATCACCAACAAACATTGACTAAATTGGGTGACAATCTTGATGTTGAAGAATCTCTCATTACATCTTGTGGCCAGTTTGTGAGTGCTATGTATGTACCAAATAATCCAGTGATGTCTGTAGATGAGACAAGATATTGGTTGTTTTGTCAGAAGCAACAGAGAAATGAAAACCTCCCATCTACATCCAACAGTCTAAAACATCACATTGAGAGAGTAAACTACCAGGTGCATGTTTGGAAACAGTCTCTGCAACCAATCATGAACATTCCTTCACCAGTTGACCATGGTTGGAGCATTTGTGATGGTCAGCTTATCCCTATTCTGATGTCGAGAGATCCTGCTCCCAGTGGATTGGTTGAGCTGACATCGTGTAAATGCAAAAAGTCAGCATGCCAGCGAAGAGATCTATGTCAGTGCAAACAGAATGATCTAGTGTGCACAGAGGCATGTCTTTGTATGGCAGGTGATTGTTGTCAGAACACCTTTGACTTGCTGCCAGGAGATGACTCCGATTCTGACATGGAGTAACTTATGATATGAAAGAAAGTGAAAAGTAGGGTTGATTGTAAGCTTCTGTATGTATCAAAAGTGAGTAACAGTTATCTGCTAGAACAATATGAATAGCTACAACCAGTGCTTGGATGCAGCTATCGGCCAAGAAGTATAGTTTTCAAACACTCTTAGATAATGTTATTTCATCAAATATTTTAGGAGTGTGAAGCTTTTATTGACCTTACCATGGAAACTTAGTTCTAGTCCAATACTGTATTAAACATTTGACACCCAATAAATTGTTTGTTTCTTATATCAGTACAAATTTAGTCCTCCACTGTGTATATGTAGTAAAACTACAATGGCGGTTATTTTGGCGGCCATTTTGAATTTTGGGTAATATATTAAAATTTCTATTAACATGCCATCACTCTAGAAGCAACAGGGAAACGAAAACAACTTGTTTTAATATAAATATAACGTTAATTTTCAATAAATACATCACCACCACTCGTTTCCATGAAAAGTTGGAAAAACACTAAAATACCCCTGTCTCAAAGAATAAGCTGTAAATCATACTATTACCACGATATGACCATACAAAATGACTTATTTTGTGCCGAAGACATCACTCTAGGAGAGAAAAGTGCAAAAAGACATCAAAAGTATCAACTTCGGTTATAAATGGAAACATTCGGTGTTCATTTCTATGTAAATCTAAGCTCTTAGAAGGCAAAACACGCCAAAACAAAATGGCCGCCAAAATGGCAGCCATTTTGATATTTTTTTAAAAACAATGTCAAATAATTTTTACATCCTTTAGCAACACTCAGAAGTAAAAACAAATGTGATCAGATTGATAGTAGTAAAAATATCTATGATTAAGTTTGAGGTGTTGTCGGGCAGAAAACCAAATGTGGCGAAAAAGGCTTGCAGATCCCCACCACATATAAAGGCCTGTAAAAAAAACTGATACCACAATCTGAGAGTATTACAGGGCTTTTCATGAGCCCAAGACATCATACTAACTGAAAATAGTGTCAAACAAAATCAGTACTGGGGGAGGCTACGAAATCCTATTTCTAGGCCTCTTTTGAGAGTCTCCTCCTGGACTAGATGAAGAATTATCTTCTTATAATTGTTAGATGGATTCAATGAATTGTATCACTTCAAACACAGCACGTCTGCACAGCAGTGTGACAAGAAAGAGAATGATCAGACTAAGGAGTCACATGATCAACCTGAGGGTATGTTGCACGCTCCACAGGGGCTACAGGCTGTCCTGGAATTGGAGCAGTAGGGTGTGTTTGGGCGAATGGTACAAGAGAGGCCCAAAAATTTGTATACAGTTTGTTTCCACTCATTGATCACGAGAGTGAGAGAAAGAGGGAGAGAGTACAAACCATAAGATAGGATAAGTTTTAAAAATAGAGCATTCTTAACATTATTTAAAGCAGCCCATGATGTAACTTTGCGTAGTGATTGTTTAACTATACATCATCACAATAGTTACTTATACTGATAATTGTTAATGAATCTTCCCAGGATGATATATAGAGATTATTACACGAGCAAGTGTGTCATACGACTTATACAAAACGAGTGTGAAATTTTGCAACACACAATTCAGCATGAGTTTCGTATTAATCGAGTGACACACTAGCGAGTGTAATAATTACTTTATTATCCATTTTATTCATGTTCATTTGTGCAGTAAAACACGGTAAGCAAGGGTGACTGCCCTATTCATTGACGTCATGTTCAATTGTTTAATGACGTCACAGATGAAATACAGAAACAATGGTTCCTAGGCAAAAGTGATATGTGCACATGTGCACATATGATATATATAAGACACTGGTTATGTTTCACCATATGGATAATAATTCCTGATTATCAATATTTCTGGCTAGCCCTCCATGTCTTAACCATAGTCATATTTGACGTGATATAATGTTACACAATATCAAAAACAAACTACATTGAATTAAATGATTAATTAATTGAATTAAGTCATCCTGTAAATGAAGGGAAACCACTTTAATTACCAAATGAACTTACTGGTATGAAGTTCTTTGCCTTGTGACATTCATCAAAAATGAGACATCCCTGGAAGTCTATGCCACCACACCAGTCTATCAACTGCTGCAGCCGAGACTGACGGGAGGTACTGAATGCGCCTGAAAGTAACACAGATTTGGGTAAAAAACAAGCTGCAAAACTGCTGTGCTATGAATGAATGTTCGTCCCCATTTAGTTAAAAATGCACTCTAAGTAAAATGTAAAAAAAAACTGTATGAGATGTTTAAACCTTAAGTTTAATGGTGTTTGTATCTAAATATTCAATTCAAAGATTTCAAATGTTTTGGAATCTTATTTAACATAAAACAATTGTATCAAATGAATAAGATCAATAAGCATATAAGTATGAAATTTTGTTACGGTAAAGACAGGGAAGTGTAATGGTTGTGACAAAGAAGAAAATGGCTGTGATAGGGCTGTTACGGTAGTGACATTATATACCGTCACAATGTCACTGCCGTAACATGCAGTCTTTACCCGTTTTTTACCTGACAGTGACATCCATAAGTAAATCTTTTGCCTTTTACATATTCTTCAAACATTCTTAAATATCTGATTGACAAATTTCATCAAATAATCTTTTAAAGTAAACTTATAAAACTGGCTATTATTAAAAATGTCACTACCGTTATTGTGTCACTACTGTAACATTTAATTCCAATGTCCATGCCATAACCAGTGTAGGAAAGATGTAGAAAATCTAGCCTGTCGCTCATTGCTGTTTCCTCTGATAGCTGAACTACACATATTTATATCAGCTACACATTTCCTAAATGTTCACGCAAAGGAAATATGCATCTGCTCTCTTGACCATAATAATTATGTTACAGTGACATTATTTATATCAAGAGTTTCTAAGCTTCAAATATAACTTTTTTGAACTCATGCTTTGAACCCTGTCCCTTTGGGTGTTTATGTGCAGTATATCTCCTCCACTGGTCTATCAGAGTAAAAATATCAGTGTGTAGTGATGAAATGTATATTTTGCACCATTTTCATGCTAATAATACTAATTACCTTAATCTGGGTACAATTTAGCTACCACCTTATTACCTACAAGTAATGGCTGTCTGGGTCAAACCTTGTTTGTTTTTAGTAACCTGATACATTTTGTTGCTGGTTATGACAAGAATTTCTAATAACCGGATAACACTTTTACTGCTGCTGAGAGATCCTAAAAGATAAACACTTTTCTTGCATTTGGCCCAGGACTATAATCTTGTCTGTCTACATGCCACTGCCACTCAGCCAGCATAATTATGACCAATACATCCTCCTACTCAGAGTGTGACTCAACTGACAACAATAAACGTTGTATTTGGCTGCACTTGGTCCAAACTTGATATTGTCTTTTAATTGTCCAAATTCTATTCAATATCTATGTTTGTGTACTAAATTGATGTATTTATATCCTGATTATTTCATGATTACCAATTGTAATGTTATGTATGGCTGCTTTATGAATGAAAAACTGGAGAACGTATGATGCAAAACAAATTTCCCTTGGGACAATAAAGAATTATCTTATCTATCTTATCTTATCTTAGTTTCAAATGCTAGAGATTTTCCACTTCAATTTGCTAAAAAATACATGTACTGATGCACTTGAATCTGTTTATTGAATATTCAGCATGAATGCAGTCAGAATTCCCTTTTTGAGCTTTCATCATTCCATTGCAGATATATCTTTGTATGTTTAATGCAGGAACATTTCCTCATTTCAAAGTCTAAATCCTGTACATTGTGTATCATAAGGAAAGAGGGTAAACACCAATGGACAGTATAAGATTAACTGAAAATCATAAAGAATCTCACTAAAGACATTAAGACATGTTATAACTTATTGGTAGGTCAATAGACCAACTGTTTCTATGCAGGGATATGTTATTAGTCTTTTATGGATTTTTAAGTTCCCTTAGTGGTCAAATTGCATAAAAGGGTAATTTTGTTCAAAGCTGGGGTTTCTTAAACAAACTTTTTCTTTGTTTGCAAATGGAGGTGAAGTTTAACATTTCTTTCAATACAAACAGTAAGAATGAAAGCCTCTTCCTGTTGTAAGTTACCTTTACAAAGCCATAACAACAGTTTCAGAAATGCCTCTTTGATGCATCTATTCAGGTAGTGTGCTATGCATGATTGGCCCATCATCGGCTAATAGTTTGCACTGTCGACTAATATCAACATCTCTGAACAGCACTGGGCAGACAGTGATCATTATTAGGAATAGTAAATTTGAACAAAAATTAAAAAGAAATCTGAAAGAAATCAACATATTTTGTATTACTGGTGAGTTTTGACATTTTTGCATGGATGACTAACAAAATCCTGAACATAATTTAGAAGCAACCCATGAATAAAGACATAACTTTGTATATTGTATGAGTAAATTGAAACTATGATATTATGGGTATTCTTAAATTCCATTCAAATTGACTTGATGGCACGAGATTTTTCCTTTGGGCACCCTTCAAATCAAGTCCAAAGTTGACAAATGCTGTAAAAAGTCAGGAAAGGTCTAGCCTGTCTCATAGTTCCTGAACTGCATTATTTTTACTTCCGTCATTGCATTTCTGCAATGATAAAGCCCTAAATGAAGCAAACCTAGATTTACTTGGGTTCAGGAATCTCCCATCTCACTGAAGCTCCTTTTCAGTTTAAAAAGAATTGTTTGTTTCTATCACAATTATATATATTCAGAGACTAAGTGCTAGTCTCAGATGGTCCTGTTAGACGTGGAAATCATATCCAATCCAGTTTATGCCTGGTAAGTTAATTTTATTTCAAATTTATGTATGTTGTTAGGATGATAACCTAATCTAGTAGTATTTTAAATACTTTATCAGTTCAGAAGAAAAAAATATAATTTCTTAAGCTCAGTTTTGAAGTTAAGTTCATAATCATTTTGCGAAAAAATATTGTTAACATTTTAATGTTACATAATGCAGACAATTATGAACGGGATCAAGAGACGTTTAGCTTGGCAAAGGAGAAATGTGATCTTCAAATTGCAGAATCGGAGGAGGGAGGAAGGGGTAGGTTATGTGATCAAGAGATCAATACCTTCACGTTAGTAGTTTAAATTGTAAATACTATTTTTACAACTTTGTTAAATATATTTCTACCTTAAATAGGGATGTCACGATACATAAGTTTCATGAATCGATACGTATCACGATACTCATGACATGATTCGATATGTATCATACCTATTTTCACTGCATTATTGCGTAAATTTAGTTTACATTGATATTTGAACATTGATATTTCATATTTTATAATTGTCCATGAAAAGATCAACATTTTGTATTCTCAGAGATTAAAGTGTTCTAATTTCCCATCTTTGTGCATGAAAAGTAATCATTTATAACTCTCATAACATCAAAAAACATGGTACAATTGCAAAATGTAAATGATACATATCAAAACATATTTTAACCAATACTTTCAAAACTAAATTTTGATACAGTTTTGAATGTATTGATAATTGTACCGTCTTACCGTCAAAAAAGTATTGATATATCATGGCACCCCTAACCTTAACAATGTTCTGGCTTACTTTAGAATTCAGCATCACAAACTTGCAATACCCCATGAAGTAATGCCTCATGAATCTTTGCAAATTGTTTTAGCCTTCTCAATATTAGTACGGTTATCTTGAATGTGTGGCGATCAGTAGTGTGTGCAGCAATACCAGGCCTACCATACAAACGGTGAACAAATCATCAAAACTGAACTCATATACACCAAAACAGAACAAAAATCACCAAAACTGCAACAATATCCTCTAAAACCGAAACAATACATCTGTAATGGAAGACTAATCGTTTAAAATGGAAACAAAACTTGCGTATCAGCTACAAGAGCGCACGAGAACGGTTGACGAGCGTACAAAACGGCATTCATAGCATCCCAACATGTCAATCATAGCATCCCGAAATGGCATACAAATCGTCAAAGATGGCGGCAGGGGGAGACGAATAGGCTTTGGTACATAATGTTTTTCGTCCTATGAGTCTAATCTTGAAAATTTGATATCGGGATGTAGTGCATAAACCCCCCTATTGTAGTAAGCTTCAAACCTATGTCCATACTTCTCAGTGTCAGGCTTGCAATTCTACACAATGTGGTCCCTCGTTGGACAGAATAGGATTTCTTGTCAACATGCCGTGCTACAGTTTCTCTTCAGTTATGTAAATAAAGTGTTCATAGCGTCACATTCAACATTACTATATTTTAGTGATTTAAAAAGTTTACAAAAACTTTGTTCATTCTCCGTGAATTGCATATCTAAGTGATAATTTTAAAGTGTACGAGTGCAAACTCAATCCACTGACTAGGGCAGGGATTTCTGTTTGAAGTCCACAGGAGGCGACTTCTTGAGACTTACAATAACAAAGACAGATGCATGTTTGTACCTCAAGTTAAGTTATATTTTTTGTTAAATGATGTAAAATGTTTGGGATTGCATGGAATAGTTTGAAGTACATGGAAATGATAAAATTGCAGAATGATAAAATCTTCCTGACACACAATTCACAGTTGAAATTATAAGCAAGTTCATGTTTCCTTCTCTGATGAGAACGCAATGTTACCCGATTTTTAAACTTCTCTTTATATGGCATACACTCAAACGTTGGTATTTTCGGAAGGTTCGGTATCACAGAGATATCTGAAAGAAATATATTCACTGAATGACTTCATAAAAGTAAGATGAAACTAGAAGATCTTCGTCTGAGAACATGACCATACATGCAGTGTGAAGCGGTGGCATACAAACATACAAACTAAGAAGAATATGTCACATGACGAGAGGACTGACACGTCTCTCTCAGGAATCTGTGATTACAAGTTTGAGAAATTTAAAAAAAAGGCAATTTGGGAAGTCAAAGTAGAAATGATCACTTAGATATGCAATTCACGGAGAATGAACAAAGTTTTTGTAAACTTTTTAAATCACTAAAATATAGTAATGTTGAATGTGATGCAATGAATACTTTATTTACATAACTGAAGAGAAACTGTAGCACGGCATGTTGACAAGAAATCCTATTCTGTCCAACGAGGGACCACATTGTGTAGAATTGCAAGCCTGACACTG